CCTTGATGATCCTGTGACATTAGTGCTCCCTCACTTAATGCCATTCATACTGGAGATATTGTGACAGTTGTAATTTCTTTATCTTTTTATCTCTATGTTCTTTAAGCTCAATGTCTGACTCACAGTAGGCAATATTTTCTGTGTAAATGGATGAAGTTCCTCAATATCATTTATTTATCTATCTATTTATTTTTGAGTCAGAGTCTTGCTCTGTTGCTCAGGCTGGAGTGCAATGGCACGATCTCAGCTCACTGCAACCTCGACCTCCTGGGTTCAAGCAATTCTCCTGCCTCAGCCTCCGGAGTAGCTGGGACTACAGGTGCCCACCACCAAGCCTAACTAATCTTTGTATTTTTAGTAGATATGGGGTTTCAGTATATTGGCCAGGCTGATCTCGAACTCCTGACCTCAGGCGATCCACCTGCCTCAGCCTCCCAAAGTCCTGGGATCCACAGCACTCAATATCATTTATTAATGAGCCCTTCCAATCCTTCTTGATTAGGAATTTTTGGCTATCACAGGCTGAAACATGCCTGGATCATGAATTGCATTTCTACTCTACTAGTTACCTCTGCCTTTTAATATGATACAACATAATTTCAGTGGCTGCAACTTTGAGAAGTAAAATTTGAATGTAACTCCATTAATATTTGAAGGTAACTCCATTAATACCTTGATTTGTTTTTGGACATTTTTTCTTATGCTTCTGGATGAATTTTGCTACCCATTTATATAAAATATCTTGCTGAGATTTTACATTTAAGTGTTTTTAGAAATGGAAAACACTGGGTTGGATGAGGTGGCTCATGCCTGTAATCCCAGCACTTTGGGAGGCCAAGGCGGGCAGATTGCCTGAAGTCAGGAGTTCAAGACAGTCTGGCCAACAACATAAAAGTTAAAATCAAGAGAGAGACTAGGTGAAAATATTTGCCATATATAGATGGGTGTATATATACACACACATATACACACATATATAAACCCATACATATATATTCATATGTATAAATCACGTATGCAATAATATTTAGAATATATAAAAAGCTTCTAGGTAAAGCATCAAGCCAGACTCCCTGTCTAATCCAACATCAAGTATCTATTTGTTGGGAATTGATTGTGCCAGCCACTGTGTAAGACACTGGAAATACAACAGTGATACAACACAGACAATAAAACAAGTAAATAAATAAACAAGGTATAAATTGTGCCAAGAGCAGGGGAGAAAATAAAGCGGCAGAGCAATAGAACAGAAGTCCTAAGCTGCTGGCCTGGGACCCAGATGTAGCCTGATGACATGCTCAGCTTGCAGAGAGCTTTTTACAAAAAATTTAGACGAATGTCTAAAACTCCAGAGATTTTATGTAAAACCAACATTTCAGACTTATCTTTAAAAATTAGATTTGGGGGCCAGGTGGGGTGGGTCACACCTGTAATCCAAGCACTTTGCGAGACTGAGGCGGGTGGATCATGAGGTCAGGAGTTTGAGACCAGCCTGGCCAATATGGCGAAACCCCGTCTCCACTAAAAATACAAAAATCAGTTGGGCATGGTGGCAGGCACCTGTAATTCCAACTACACAGGAGGCTGAGGCAGGAGAATCACTTGAACCTGGGAGGCGGATGCTGCAGTGAGCTGAGATCATGCCACTGCACTCCAGCTTGGATGACAAGAGCAAAACTCCGATTCAAAAATAAATAAAATAAAATAAAGAAATGGAAAACACTGACAATACTTTTAATACTTTTGAGCTAGCATGAAAATAGAGGGCACACTTGTCTGGTTTTTGTTTTCAATATAATCCAATAATTATGGTGCTCCTTATCAGGTAATTTAATTTTTAAAGTGTTAAATAATTAAAATTTGTATTTTAACAAATGCCAAGTCAACATCTATAAGGTGAAGATTTTTAAAAAGTTACCTTTTTGCCATAATGTGTTCTGATTATTATTATTTTAAGTTGTAAGGTATTATTTATTAGACACTCTATGGCAAACAGGATTTTTTTGTATTGCATTTTGGGTTTTGGGGTACATGTGAAGAACATGCAAGATTATTGCATAGGTACACACATGGCAGTGTGATGTGCTGCCTTCCTCCCCATCACCTATATCTGGCATTTCTCCCCATGCTGTTCTGATTATTATTTTGCTGGTGTTGTGACCAATTCCCATTCCTGGGGTTAAATTTTATATTGTATAATATTTAATATGTTATGTTCATTTGTTCCAATTTGTTTAAAATGAAATAAATAAAAATTCTACTTTCCTTGTCATGTAATGTGTGCATTTATATATGCAAAGATTGCCATCTTTGACAAATATCCTGAATAGTCCTTTCTTGTAGGAAATACTATTGGACTAGGAGGTCTTTTCACAGGCTGGGAGAAGAACTGTCTTTAAATGGTAGACTGCGAGATCATCCACATCACAGGATATTGGAAATGAAAGTCACCTTCAGGATTTTCTAGTAATAGCTACTTATTTTATGGGAGAGGAAACTGAGGCTCACAAAGAAGGAAAACTTAGACAAAGTCAGAATGAGTTTATGACCTAATAGTGCAGGTTCTCCCATGCTACAATGCTGTTCTTTGAACCAAACGCAGTATCACACTTGGAAGTTCTGTCACTACTCATTCCACAGCCCAGGAAGAACCAGGAGGGCAGGTCTTTTATGTCACATTTATTTTATTAGCTGTTTGTTTGCTGGTTTCTTTGCTTTGGTGGTTGGAATGTGCTTGGGTCTCGTGATTTCTCAGTTTCCAGTTTTAGCCGTAGACCTGGCATCCCCACTTATGGGCACCACGCTCTCTTCTACGTTCAGTGATGATGTCTGCCTAATATCTTCCCCTTTTCCGGCAACTGAAGCTGCGCTGTAGATGTCACGGTCACGTGGATGGGAATAAAAGAAATTTATTTTCCTCCCTGCTAGACAATTTACTAGGCAGGTGACCCTGAGATAAAGGCAGTCCTCATGGTGATGCTTCTACTCTTGCGACCCCCTCCCAAGACATCCAACAGGAACTAAGGTGGAGACCATATTCTCTCTGCACTTTCCACTTCAGCATCTTTGCTGTCCTACACTTGCTGTCCATGTCACACTAGAGGAAGGAAGCTTCCTGCCTTACAATCTGAACCCAAACTGGGTTTCGATCGAGGTTTTGTGGGTGTATGTATTACATTCAGCAAAATATAATCTTAATGCTGAATACTGAAATACTTTGTGTATTTTGATGATTTGTGGGGGAAACAGCATAAAATATTTGAAAGGGGGCTATTCAAGAAGATACAGAATCACTGTACTTAGACACAGGCAGATGAAACCCATTTTCTCCATCACCTGTAACCCAGATTCTTTCTTAAAAGGAACAGCAGTCTACCCATCTGACAAAGGGCTGATATCCAGAATTTACAAAAGAACTCAAGCAGATTTACAGGAAAAAAACAAACAAGCCCATTCAAAAGTGGGCAAAGGATATGAACAGATACTTTACAAAAGAAGACATATATGAGGCCAACAATCATATGAAAAAATGCTCATCGTCACTGGTCATCAGAGAGATGCAAATCAAAACCACATTGAGATACCATCTCACGCCAGTTAGAATGGCGATCATTAAAAAATCTGGAGACAACAGATGCTGGAGAGGATGTGGAGAAAAAGGAACACTTTTACACTGTTGGTGGGAGTGTAAATTATTTCAACCATTGTGGAAGACAGTGTGGCGATTCCTCAAGGCCTTAGAAATGGAAATTCCATTTGACCCAGCAATCCCACTACTGGGTATATATCCAAAAGACTATAAATCGTTCTACTATAAGGACACATGTACACGAATGTTCATTGCAGCACTGTTTACAATAGCAAAGACCTGGAATCAACCCAAATGCCCATTGATAATAGACTGGATTGGAAAAATGTGGCACATATACACCATGGAATATTATGCAGCAATCAGAAATGATGAGTTCGTGTCGTTTGTAGGGACATGGATGAATCTGGAGAACGTCATCCTCAGCAAACTGACACAAGAACAGAAAATGAAACACCGCATATTCTCACTCATAGGTGGGTGATGAAAAATGAGAACACATGGACACAGAAAGGGGAGTACTAAACACTGGGGTCTATTGGGGAGAAAAGGGGAGGGCCAGTGGGAGGGGGAGGTGGGGAGGGATAGCCTGGGGAGAAATGCCAAATGTGGGTGAAGGGGAGAAGAAAAGCAAAGCACATTGCCATGTGTGTACCTACGCAACTGTCTCGCATGCTCTGCTCATGTACCCCAAAACCTATAATCAAATAAAAAATTAAAAAAAAAAAAAAAAAAAAAAGGAACAGCTAATGAGCCCTAGAGAAGGCCATATAGAGGGCGTGGCTAGTAGAGTCTATGCCACCGGGTGAGCATCTGAGACAGTCTTCTTCTCCAGGTGAGTTTGGTGTCAGATGAGCCTACGGAGCAGGAGAGTGAAAGGGGTTGAGGAAACGGCCTGCCACTTAAACAGTGCCTTTGGGGAAGCATACTCACGTGCTTTATGAAAGAAAACCCGGACGAGGGAGTCTATAAAGGATAGACTGTGTTTGATTCTTGATACTGAATTAAGCCCCCAAAGTAGCGTGTTTCTAGAGCACTTTCCAGAGGGAATGATGGGCCTCACATCCATTAGTGTGTTTTAAAACTTTCCACCCTTCCATCTCTTTATCCCACAACTGTCTGTTCCTGATTCCTGAATACTATCCACACCTGATGCACTGTTTGGATCTTTGTCTTGATCACAGAGACCAAAAGAACCTGGCCTAGCTCTGCCTTCACTTGTCCACCCTCTCACCCCATTGCCCCTTATACAACTGCACCTGCTTTGTGGGGTGCTGCCCTGCCATAGATGAGGACCTATGAGGCCTGGGCTCCTGACTACCACAGATGGGCAGGGTGCAGCTCAGGGGAAAAGCTGCCTGGGTCAAACACCTGGCTGAAGCAGAGATGTCCTTCTTCCTTGATTCTAGAGTCAGGGTCCAGGGTAGTAAGCTGACTGGAGAGCTGCGTCTTCACGTGGTGGACACGTTCTCCTGATGGCTGCTCTCCAGCGCTGAACTGCAATCCTCTCAACTTTGGGGTCATGCAGGAATCTGGAAGCTTCATGCTTCTGTGCCAAATAAGAGGAAGTTGTGGACATATGAGGGAAAGATATCTTACCCTTTCGGCCCCCTCCCTGGCCTCCACTACCCTTAGGGATCCTATTACTACACTCCACCGAGAATGGGCGTCTCCGGCTCTGGGAGTTGCAATTTCCTATTGGATGCATGGCTCACGGGAAAAAGCCCTTGTTGGGTGGGCTTTAGTAGATGAACCTGTTGCAGCCTATGTTTTCATCAGAACAATTCTTCCTGCTTTACTCAGAGGAATAATAAAATTAAATAATATTATATATCTGAAAGGATTTTGACCAATCAAAAGCGCTCCTGATATGCAAAGATTTACAATAGTTACATTTAGAATTTTGTAAATATGAAATCACTTTTCATGTATTCCTTCCATGGTTTCAGCACTGAGCAAGTTAAAGCATAGCAATCCATTTCTTTTTTCTTTTTTGGCAATCCATTTCTTTAAAACGAATAGCTTTATTTCATGAGAGTCAGTTTTCTGATATAGGGACAAATTCTGTTCAAACAGGAATCTAAGGAGTTTACCTTTTCCATTTACTGGTTTGGGAAAAGCCATAACATGTCAAGTTAATTTTTTTAAAAAACACAATATTTAAAGCTCTCTAAGGAACATAGTGCTGCTGTCTTTCTTGACTACCTAGTTCTATTTCTCAGTTGCGCTACTGAAAAGTCTTTGCTCCCAATGTCTAATTTAAATCTGTGTTGCAGTAGCCTGATCTTTTTTCTCCTCATCTTGCTATGGAAGAGAAAGCGACATCTCCCAATATTAGGGCACTAATATGGAAGAGAAAGCGACATCTCCCAATATTAGGGTCTCAAACTTTTGTTAAATTTCTTTATAACTTTCTTCTAAGTCCTCAGATTCCTTTTTTTTTTTTTTGAGATAGGTCTTGCTCTGTTGCCCAGGCTGGAGGGCAGTGGCATGATTATGGCTCACTGCAGTCTTGACTTCCCCAGGCTCAGATTATCCTCCCACCTCAGCCTCCAGAGTAGCTGGGACTACAGGCATGCACCGCCACACCTGGCTAATTTCGAATTTTTTGTGGAGACAGGTCTCACTGTCTCAAACTCCTGGGCTCAAGCAATCCAACGACCTTGGCCTCCAAAAGTACTGGGATTACAGGGGTGAGCCACCCCATGCCCAGACTACATCCCTGATTCTTTATTCCTTCTTTGCAGCTTTCCTTTCCTAGCTGTCATTTTATGTTCCCTTGTTCCCTCAACTGAGTTAAGAAAATTTCTTAAAATCTCTTATGGTGAGATTCAGGGCTGATCCTGAGATCCCAGGGATTTCTGATGGGGCTGAGGATGGAGGAGGAAGCCCAGGCTCTGCAGTTCATCATAAGTAGAGATAGTTAGGTCAGGGAGGGGGGCACTTCTTGCCCTTTTGGAAGAAATGTGTATTGGAAGCACAGGCTTCTGAAGGCTCAAGGCTCAGAGCTAGCTATATTCATGGCTAAGCACACTCATATGTGGTGGGTGCCGTCTCCCTTGGACCTTGTCAGAATAGGGACACTTACCCAGTTCTGGGTGCGGATGTCATGGGTGTCATGGAGCAATTGCTCATCCCTGAAGTGGACACAGAAAAATGTCCTTCTGTTACAGGGGCCCGGACATGTCTCCCCAGTTGCCCAGCTTACATCCTGGGTTTGAAGTATAGCCAAAGTGGGAGGGGCCAGACTCGAAGGGACACTGAGGTCCTAACAAGCCAGACAGAGAGGCAGTTGCAGAATGTGGCACCAGGAATCTGGCCCCCTGTGAAGCAGAGGGAATCATGGCCACTGAAGCTCTGTTCTTCTAGGGCTGGGAACTGAGTGTTTCCGTCCCAGGGCTCTGCTACTGGAGCAAGTCCCTGGTAGCTCACCTCTTATCTCCATTTTTTAGGTATGAAAAATGGATACAACGAGACTTGAATTCTCCTTATCTCACCCTGGATTTCACCCTCCCATCTTTCAGGAAGTGGAAAAGCAACAGCAGCAGTTATATCCTAAATCCACATTAAAAAAAATTATACTTTAAGTTCTGGGGTACACGTGCTGAATGTGCAGGTTTGTCCATAGGTATACACGTGCCATGGTGGTTTGCTGCATCCATCACCCAGTCATCTACATTAGGTATTTCTCCTAATGCTATCCCTCCCTATCCCCTCACCCCCTGCTATCCCTCCCCTAGCCTCCCACCCCCCAACAGGCCCCAGTGTGTGACGTTCCCCACTCTGTGTCCATGTGCTCTCACTGTTCAACACCTACTTATGAGTGAACATGCAGTGTTTGGTTTTCTGTTATAGTATCAGTTTGCTGAGAATGATGGTTTCCAGCTTCATTCGTGTCCCTCCAATGGCCCTGAATGCATCCTTTTTATGGCTGCGTAGTATTCCATGGCATATATGTGCCACCTTTTCTTTATCCAGTCTATCATTGGTCAGCATTTGGGTTGGTTCCAGGTGTTTGCTATTGTCAACAGTGCCGCAATAAACATATGTTTGCATGTGTCTTTATAATAGAATGCTAAATCCACATTTTTTATAGCCCAGGTAATCAGGCAGGAGTTCCCAGGGCTCTGCAGTGAACTATTTAGAAATCAGTCTTCTAAGGATGAAGGAGAGCATTCTCCAAGCAGAGGTAAGCTTGGCCTTTTTTGATCTTTTGACCCTTAGGTATCAGCATCCAAGAAAAGTATTTCACGAGCCTCTGGATCTCACAGGGGAGGTCATAGTTCCTTGTTCTGGAGTGGAGGTGATGGGCCAGGTTTGGGGAAAGATCAGAGGGAGGCTTCTCTGGGACTGTCTGTATTTAAAGATCTCCAAGATTTGTACTCTTAAGGAACTCAGTTTGGCGGCAGGGCTGAAAAAGCATAGAGTGGTTCCAGTGCCAGAGAGACCCCAAGAGAAGTCAGTATCTCCTTCAGATTTCCTCCTGTCCCTGAATCTTATACCCAGCTGAAGGCTCCTCACCCCTTCCACGGGCTATAAAAATCCTTGAATTCAATCTTATTGACTTCTGACTTTGGAGGCTCTCTCTTTGGGCTCAGTCATATATATCCTTGATCATCAGTGGGACTTGAGAGCCAGGAGTTTTGGTATCATATGGGAGTCTCTGAGGGATACAGAATTTCAGAATTCAAGCCTACCCTAGACCTGCTGAGTAGGAATTTGCTTTTTAACAAGGTACCCAGGTGATCTGTATATACACAAAAGTTTGAAAAGCCCCAATTTATAGGTTCTTTCTTGGATGGGTGAAGGAAGGAGTTCCAGATATGTCTTTTCTGCTGTAATTCTAGGCTCCCAGGTATTTTGAGTATTTTCTTGAAATACTAGAATTAGCATCTGGGTGTTTGAAAACTGTAACTTGATCACCCTGAATAATCATTCCACTCTAGCCTTCCTGCTACTCCATCCCTGTGCCAGCCTTGGAAAGCTGTTCCCCTTTTCTGTGCTTGCTGTCTTTACTGTCAAGAACCATATCTAGCCGAGAGCTGAGAGTGCTCTTAGGCCCTCAACAGCCATTCCAAGGGAGAAAAAGATTCTTCCATCCCGTCCACGTGCTGTAGACTGATGCCTATGTTCCCTCCAAATTCATATATTGAAACCTAATCCCCAAAGCAATGATATTAAGGTGTGGGGCCTTTGGGAGGTAATTTGATTATGAGGGCAGAGCCCTTATGAATGAGATGAGATTTAGTGTCCATATGAAAGAGAACCTGGAGAATTCCTTCACTTCTTCCTCCAAGAGAGGACACAGTGAAAAAGGCTCTCTATTAACTGGGAAGCAGGGGCTCAACAGACACCAAATCTGCTGGCACCTTGATCTTGGAGATCCCAGCCTCCAGAGCCGTGAGGAATGTTTCTGTTGTTTATAAACTACCCAGTCTATGGTATTCTGTTCTAGCAGCCTGAACAGACTCAGACACGAGGTAATTGAGCTGGACAGAGGAGAGACTTGCATTGCTTATAAAATGAACACGTTAGGAAAGCCAATTTCCAGCTTGGTTGAAGCTGGGAGGGGGGAAAAAAAGGAGAACCTGAACTCGGGCTGTAAGCAAAATGGAAGATCCTAGGGTGAGACTTTGGGATGAACTCCATATCTCACTTCTTATCTCCACTTTTTTTGGTATGGAAAATAAACACAATGAGACTTGAATTCCAAATCCCCTCCCTTGTTTCCTTACCCAAACCTTGGAATGGTGCTCTTTTACCTCGAATCCGAGCATCTTCCTGCAGCTGAAAAATAATGAGAACACAGAATCAGATGGTGGGGGCTGGTCTCCTGCAGACCTGCAGTGTCCTTGCTATAGACTTGGTCAAATGCAGGGATGTCTGTTTGGGAAAATATGGGCTTCTTGGACATGGAACTCCCAGGATTTCTTTCTTTCTTTTCTTGAGATGGAGTCTCACTCTGTCATCTAGGCTTGAGTGCAGTGGCATGATCTCTGCTCACTGCAACCTTCACCTCCCAGGTTCAAGGGACTCTCCTGCCTCAGCTTCCCCAGCAGCTGGGATTACAGGTATGCACTAGCATACAGGGCTAATTTTTGTAGTTTTAGTTGAGATGGGGTTTCACCAGGTTTCATCTGGCTACCTCAGTCTCCCAAAGTGCTGGGATTGCTACCCAGGCACTTTGGCCACCGTGCCCAGCCAAAATCTCAAGGTTTCTGAAAGCACAATTTGTATTGTTTTTGTATCTCACACTTCATATAGCATATGCTCAATAAACGCCTTTTGAATAATGAATGCATAAATAAATAGGAGCAAGCTGTGTCTCTTTAGGGGTGGAAGACACACAATTCATCACTTACAGTCATAACTATTCATAATAAGACATCACATCTTTATTCTTTCTGACCCTCCTGCTGTGTCTTTTCTGGGCCTTTTTACACTCCCCATTGAGTCTCCAGTGCTTCTCTGTAGAGAAGCTTTAAGTATGTGTAAAGTATCTTTAAAAAAATTCCTTCTTGGCTGTGGGTAGTGGCTCACGTCTAATTCCAGCACTTTGGGAGGCTGAGGCGGGTGGCACCTGAGGTCAGGAGTTCGAAACCAGCCTGACCAACATGGTGAAATGCTATCTCTACTAAAAATGCAAAAATTAGCTGGGAGTGGTAACACACGCCTGTAATCCCAGCTACTCGGGAGGCTGAGGCAGGAGAATCACTTGAACTCAGGAGGCAGAGGTTGTGGTGAGCCGAGATTGTGCTACTGCACTCTAGACTGAACGACAGAACAAGACTTCTAAGAAGAGAATTCTTCTCCTAAAAAGAACAATTATTAGGAAGGGCACAGTGCGTCATGCCTGTGATCTCAGCACTTTGGGAGGCTGAGGCTGGCAGATGGCTTGAGTCCAGGAATTTGAGACCACCCTGGGCAACAGGGAGAAACCCTTCTCTACAAAAAATACAAAAATTTAGCTTGGTGTGGTGGACCCAGCTACTTGGGAATCTGAGGGATGGGATTTGCTTGAACCTGGGAGCCAGAGGTTGCAGTGAGCTGAGATCACATCACTGCACTCCAGCTTGGGCACAGAATGAGACCCTGTCTCAAAGAGAGAGAGAGAGAGACAGACAGAGGGAGAGAGAGAGAGAGACAGAGAGAGAGAGGGAGAGAGAGAGAAAGAGAAGGATACCAAAATCTATAGAAGGAGAGCAGAGGAAGAGGTTTTATTTCTATTTACCCAAGAAGGTTAGCCCTGGTCTCTAATTCACACTTCCCTGCAGTTAACAGACATACTCACCTAATAAGGCAGTTTACTATATCACTAGGAGATTCTTCCCAACTCAGTCACTTATCAGCATTTCATACAACCACAAAGAGTATCCTTGCTGAGAGAAGTTCTAGCAGATATGATCTTCTGTCTATATTATTACATTTCCTCAAGGGGACTGTTAGGCATCTTCCTGCCTTAGCTGCCTGGACTGACAAGTCAGTGGTACTCTTTAAGGGAGAAATCACTAGAAAAATTAATAAAGCTGAAACCTTGGTAAGAGGCAACATCTCAGTAGGGTAAGAAAAAAAATGGGATCAAGGCACATCATGGGGCTGGGGAACTCAGAGAGTCAAAATCGAATCTCACCTCCTTTTGTATATTCTTAAAAGCTGTCAGCACCTGACAGAAGACAAAGATAAAGAAAAATTAATATAGATGATCACTTTATTACCGAGGGATTTAGTTACCTAGTCTCCTAGCCACTCGGCTATAGAATGTAGATGCCAAGAGACTGTGGTTTTGTGGCTCTAGCAATAAATCCTCATTGACTTCCACTCTACAGAAGTAGAGTGGGCCGCCGTTTCTCCATATGGTAAATGGGCAAACTACAGTAAAGTATTTAAAGAGGACTGGGCTGTGCATGGAATGTATAATGAAAGCTACTGTTATATTTCTTTTCTGTCTGATTGGTTCTTACCCTGAAGCTTAGCATAGGTATTAAAATTAACAGGTATTTGCATTTAGGTTATAATGCACTGGATGTTGGTGAGGTTGTGGAACAGCTGAAATTCTTGGGCATCGTTGGAGGGAGTGTAAAATCATATGCTCACTTTGGAAAAAGTCCTAGCACTTTCTTTTTTTTTTCTTTTTCTTTTTTGGCTGTAAGTTTATTCAATGCAAAAGAATCCTCTCTAGTTTTCCTGAGGTGGCTGACCATGTCCCCCAAATGTGCCTCTGCATTCAGTTGCTGACCCAGCCCCAGGGTCAGCTTTCTTGTCGCCACCAGGGGGCACAGCACTCTGTCTGTAGGTGTCTCTGTCGGCTTCCCCTCTTGTGAGTCTTGCAGGTTGCTCACCCTCCAGACCTTTAGACCAAGGCCTGCCAGTCTCTGGATGGCTGTGGCATAGAGTGACAGGCACAGTCTCTGGGGGCAGATGAAGGTAATCACGGAGATACTGGATACCCTCCTTGATAAGGTACCAGTAGAAATGTCTCCAGGCAAACTGTTCCTTCACATAGCCTCGGAACTTGAGAGATGGCATGGCCTTCATGACTGCCAGCTCGTCTGCCAGCTCCTGGTGTTAGCCATCTGGACATCCTTCCTGGCCACCAGGACTCCCTCTTTAAAAAGGAGTTCATAAATGGCCATCCAGTTCTTCTTAGGCATCAACATCTGGGTGGCTGTAGGGTCTGGCGCTGGGGTTGGGGCTGGCAGTTCCTTCCTTCCCTCTCTCCTTCCCTCCCTCCCTCCCTTCCTTCCTTCTCTTCCTCCCTCCCTCCCTCATTCCACTTCCCCTTTCTTTCTCTCCCTCCCCGCCTCTTCCTTCCTTTCTTCTTTTCTTTTCTTTTCTTTCATCTCACTCTGTCGCCAGGAGTGCAGTGGCATGATCTCTGTTCACTGCAACTTCCGCCTTCTGGGTTCAGGTGATTCTCCTGCCTCAGCCTCCCGAGTAGCTGGGACTACAGGTATACGCCACCACACCCAGCTAATTTTTGCATTTTCAGTAGAGATGGGGTTTCACCATGTTAGTCAGGATGGTCTCAATCTCCTGACCTCGTGATCCATCTGCCTTGGCTATCCACCTACTGTACTACCTAGCTGTGTATGGATCCAGTGACTGTTGGAACTGTGGCTCTTCTCCCTTGTGAGAAAGTGTGAGAACTTTAAGATAGATAGTTTTATCTTGTTTGGTGGAAATATAGTGTATGTAGATATTCAGGAGTTTCAGTTTGTGTATAAGGGTACATATGGAAGAGGAATGAATGGTCAAAGGGGTAGAGTGTGCTCATGATCAATTCGTTGCCTCTCAATGATCAATTCATTTCCCTTTGTTCATCTTTTATTATAAGTATCTGATTATTCACTTGTTCTCAACAGGGTGGTCTTCTGACTCTTACACAAACAACTTACGCTTTAGCTAATAAACAAGTGTAAGAACATGAAATAGTTATGATACTGTATAGTATTATAATTAAGATTATTTCCTTATGTAAAGAGTCATTGAAATCACAGAGAATAAAACATGTTGGACACATTATTCATTTTATATAATATTGTACAGTGGGGGCTGGCACAAGAGGCTCTGGAGATTTTCACTCATTTTTAATCAGAAAGCCATGGCCATTAATTTAATTAACAGTCTTTTCCTGCTCAGTTTCCTACATTATACATTCAAAAGTGATCAATTATCTTTTAATTCTCATCTCTATTCAAGGCTTTACAAGCAACTAATATGGTAAGATTGGGATGCTGAAGTAGCTGGTATTTGTGTGAGAAAATGTCTGTGTTCTAGGAAAGTTCACTACAGTTTGCTGTGGTTATCTTGTGGGCATTACTAGCTTCTGCACACCTGTACCCTTCAACTATAAAGTGAAACCTGGCATTTTTATGTTTCTGAATTGAAAGTGACATTTTCATGTGTGTGAAAGGCCAAACCTGTGTTTTCAAGTCCATGGCAGTCACTGAGAACTGGATATTAAACCCTCTTAAAACAAACAGGACCTGTGACAGCTTCAAACAAGTGGGTGTCAGGAAGGGGCGCTGACATGCACAGACACAAGGAGCTCTGAGGATATGAGACGGTATCCTCAGAGCAACAGAACAAGGTGGGAGGTAGTGTGCTGATCCTTCACCATCAATCAATAAACTGCTCAAGGAAAGAGAAAGAAATGTGCTCCTTCCCGAAGCTCTCCCCCGCCTCCCACCTCTCGCCGTGCTGTCAAAAATGATTCCTCTGTACTAACCTGGTCCCACAGGGTTTCAGTGATGGTTACTTGTCTTTCCTGTAGAAATAAGGAGCAAATGTTGGAAACAATATCCCAACTCTCCCAGAATCTGAAGTGACACATTATGAAACTGGTGGAAGACAAGGTATTTCTTGGAATTGAGCTGGACACCCCAAATCACCCCATTTCTCAGGCAGCCAAAAGTTTCCTGTAGCCCTGCTGAGTCATTTTCATCCCATATGTCCTGCTTTGCTCTGGATCTAGCTGGTGGGTGACAGGTACAAGCAGACCCATCTGTGTACCACCATGTCAATGTCTGTTCAGCCTGCTTGCCTCTGGAGTTGTTTGGTGACATAGTGGGACTGGAGATGTTACCTGGTTTGGTAGACAACGACCCACCCCATCAGAGCCAGTCAAGAGCCCCCTGTCCCTTGTCAGGCAGATTTTTTTTTTGGCCTCCTGTCTATAACCTCTTTTCCTTCCCTCTCCCTAGGAATTAGGAGCCCCAGAGGATCCAGAGAATTTGGATACCTTACCCACCTGTGGTCTTATTGTCTCTTCTATGGATGTGCTGGAAAGAAAGAATGAAATACAACTGATGAGGAGCGGATAACATGGGCTAAAGGCTTTTCCTAACTCTATTCTGTCACTCCTACCAGGAATTCTCGAAGTTTCTGTACTAAAAATCCAGGAAGTATAACCAGGGTCCTGCCTCTCATATCCCTTATGGGAGGTATAGGGAGAGGTGGGACCCTTGCCTCATCTTCCAAGTATCTTGACTATTGTGGAAGCCCTTTGAGAACTCTAAACCATAGAACAATGGAAGTGAAGGCTATGGTCACTGTCATTAAGCCTTGTCATTCTCCTGCCTGCCTAATTTATGTCCACTCTCCACCCTTCATCCCACCTGACCTGTCAAACTTCCCAGGTTCCTCTTTGGAAAGTACACTCAGTTAGCAAACTGCTTCCCCAAAGGTTCTTTTCCTTCATGACTGATGATGGGGTGAAATGGGGATGAGAGGCTGGGGAAGAAGTTGAAAGATTTTGCTTATTCTTGGCAGCACAACTGAAGCTCTTATTCCTAAATACCATCTAATTCCTAAATCAGTACCAAAGTCACCTTGGAGGGGGCTTATACAGACAGACAGGTAACTGGGTGGAGGAAGAAGGGTGAAAGTGAGTGGAACCTGGGGAACCAGTCCGCTCTTCTATGCTCATGGATCCTGAGCAAACTCAGTCTCATCTCCTGGCCATGTGCAGACTTGACTAGGTCAGAGGAAGCCAGGACATAGGTTATGAACTAGAGGAAGGAAGCGTAGGTTAATTACCTTCTAAAATTGTTTCCGGAGCTCTGGGGAAGAAACCTGAAAAGGGATTTAAAAAAGGGGAAAATGCGATAGAGGGAAAATGTTTCAGAAACCAATGGTCCTTACATCTCTGGCCTGGAGTTCCTACTAGTACAGTTCCTGCCATTAAAAAAAAAAAAAGTTTTTCTAAACAGGGATAGGGAGGCCAATGATCACAGGGAGCTTGGGGACCCAGAATAGAGTGAAAACTGACACTGAAGTTCAAGACCAGCTTGGGCAACATAGTGAGACCTCGTCTCTATAAAACAAAACAAAACAACCCAACAACAACCAAACCAAACAACAACAACAACAACAGCAGCAGCAAAGTCCCAGCCAGGTGTGGTGGCAGGCGCTTGTAGTTCTCGCTTACTCAGGAGGCTGACGCAGGAAGATTGTTCGAGGCTGCAGTGAGCTATGATTGCGCTATTATGCTCCAGCCTGGGCAACAGAGAAAGTCCCTGTCACTAAAATAAATAAATAAGTAAAAAGACATTAAGCCTAACAGATTTCTAGCTAACAGGAGACTCTTGATGAACATTGATAGCACGCAGAAATCTCCTTGGGAGCCACCATATCAGAAGGCTCAGGGACACAATTCTGCCAGTTGGAGTGCTAGTTCTCCATAGAACCTGGCAGAGCTATTACTCACTGATGTCCCTAATTCTGAAAACATCCTTTTAATGTACATATTGATATGTAATAATTGTACATATTTATGAGGTACACGTGATAGTTTGATACTGCATACAATATGTAATGATCAAATCAAGAGTATTTAGGATATCCATCACCTCAAACATTGATGGGTTCTTCGTGCTAGAAACATTTAAGCTCTTCTCATCCAACTATTTTGAAGGACATAATGAATTGTTGTTGATTACAGTCACCCTACTGTGCTATCAAACCCCAACCCTAAGCCTGTTTCCTCACCTATCAAAAAAGAGGAGTAATCTTTTTCTAAAGGATTTGGGGGATGATCATATGAAAGCCTGTGTAACTGTTAAGTTTTTCTTCAGCCGTTATTGTTATTGTGTGTTATTTTTATGTCCTGTCCACTTCCACCATCAAAAAGCATCCATTCCTCAGCAGAAAAGCCAAGGTTTTCGTGTGGTTTATTTGCTTCCTCATATGGAAGTCTAGGAGACTCCAATATCTACTCAGTATTTTCTCCTCAAGGTCCTGCAGCTGTCCGGAGGAGAATTCATACTCTTAGATAGGGCAGACTCCCGACTTGCCCCGGATTCAGGCTTCTCAGTTCCTTACTGGCTCTCAGGCTTGAGGCCCAGGTAACCATTCTGAGCACTTTCATAAGACAGGCAGCTTAGGGATTTAGAAGACATTTTTCACTTTCTCTTCCCAAATTTCTACAAACTCTTATCTCAAGACATCTGCTGCAAGTCAAAGGCTCCAGCCAACTTCTGATTCCCTTATGAAGCTTTTCTGACCCATAAGTTCACAGTAAACCCTCCTTTTTTTCTGACTTTATGGATACCCTCACCTGGGTCTCATATTTAGCCTCAAGCAGCAGATTCTAATCCTCTTTTCCACGCTAGGCCAAGAGAAGCTTGATTTCTGATGGTTGGCCTTGATTCACACTATAGAGGACATAAAGGACTTAGGGAAAGTCAATCCTGGAATAAACAAATGTCTCTAGCTTGTATACCCCACCAACTTCTAGAGGAATTGCAAATGATGCCTGCTTTCTGAATTAGAATGGCAAAGATTTGCTATTGTCTCTTTCATTGAGGAGATGGAGAAGAGGGAGGGCACATGAAAGTCCCCATCTTATCCAGCAAGGAAGCAAGTGAAGCCAAATGAAGAGCGATGGAGACAGGAGGCCCTGGTTCTTCCCCCATGGAGTACAGCAATCTAAGGATGCTTGAGGGTCATCATTAGCCCCATTACCTTCTCTGCTGCTTGGAGGTCATTTCTGCCTTTTGTTGTTGATCCTGCCAGGGATGCTGTGCCATTTGTTCTCAGACAGAAACCAAGGACTCTGGAGCTGAAGATGGAGATAGCTCCAGGCCCCGGGGAGTCATAAATGAATCTAGGGAGAAGGCAGGCACATGGTGAGAAGAAAAGAGCTTATTCACTGGAGAATTAACAGGACGGATGTCTCAGCAGTTAATGAAACATCTGTGTTTTGAATGGGTGAGTGTGCTTGTGCGTGTGTGTGTGCATATATGTGCATGTATGTGTGTACGTATGTGTAAAGAAAGATGAGGGTAAGAGGAGGGTAAGAGGAAGGAAGTATTTGCCCCTGGAAAAATCTTCCTATAGTCTTTGTCAGTAACAACAGAAATTGCAGTGAGAAAGTTGGTGAAAAATAACAGTTGTCTGAGACTGCAGATGGGGTGTTGGCCAAAGGATCTTTGAGTTCGGGGTGGACTCGATGGCAAGGACAGCAAATAGTGTAGAGGGAATGCAAGATTGGCAAATACCCTACCCGCTCCTGCTCAGTCAGAATTTTCATGGTTAACTAAGGATAGAGTTTCAGGATGCAGGGCCATCAGCTCTAGCCTTCAAGGGCTTTGCAGAGAAGGAGGGCTCATAGGCAGTGACCTAGACAGGAGACAGATCCTCCTTTGATAAGTTTCCCTCCCACTCTTCCCATTCCCACCCTTCTTGACCTCCAAGCCACCGTCAAGAACAGGTCAGTGATGCCTCAGAACTTACCTTGCTTTGTCCCCCAAATCACACTTGCCCCACTCCTTCCCCACTAGACTTTTTCCTCTTTGAGCTCCATCTTACAACAGCCTTCTGTTCCCACATCAACCTTGCTTTTTTCAACGCTTTGTGACTTCAGCTGTGACCTCATAGAGGTGGGACAACTTGCTCTCCCTCCCAGCCACACCCTAGGCTCCATTCGATCTAAATAATAATGGTAAAATGGAAGAATAATGTTGCGGGATTTTAATTTTAATTTCTGGCAATTTTTGCTTCTTCATTGCCTTCTACCCATTGCATTAGGAATCCATTGATTCTGAGAGATGACAGGTATGAGGCCAGAAGAATCCAGTTTTTACTTTGAATTTCAAAATCAGGTCTGAGAAATCTGGCTTTCAATTCAAGAGCTATGGGACCTGGAAGGTTCTATCTCAGGTCCTGTCTGCCTATGCTATGCCACAATTCCCATTTCACCACCACCTCCCCATGCAGGCTCAGTGCCCTCTCCGAGGCTGCTCCTCCAGGGGTCTAGTTTCAAGGGAGAAGCTGGCCCTTGGTTCCTTCTGTTCTTAGACGTAGTTGATTTTTAGATCGCACAAATAAGTGAGAACATGCAACGTTTGTCTTTTTGTGCCTGGCTTATTTCACTTAACATAATAATCTCCAGTTCCATTCATGTTGTTGGGAATGGCTGGATCTCATTGTTTTGATGGCTGACTAGTACTCCATTGTGTATTCATACCATAGTTTCTTTTTTTTTTTCAATTTACTTTTCACAATACCATTTTTTTCCTTTTTTTTATTGAACTTTAGGTTCTGGGGTAAATGTGCAGATCATGCAGGATTGTTGCATAGGTACACAAATGGCAACGTGGTTCCCTGCTTCCATCCCCTCGTCACCAACATTTGGCATTTCTCCCCATGTTATCCCTCCCTGACCTCCTCACTCCCTGCTATCTCTCCCTTGGCATCCCCCAACAGACCTCAGTGCATGATGCTCCCCTCCCTGTGTTCATGTGTTCTCATTGTTCAACACCTGCCTATGAGTGAGAACATGCACTGTTTGATTTTCTGTTCTTGTGTCAGTTTGCTGAGAATGATGGTTTCCAGATACATCCATGTTCATATAAAGGACACGAATTCATAATTTTTTATGGCTGCATAGTATTCTATGGTATACATGTGCCACATTTTCCTTGTTTAGTCTATCGTCGATGGGTATTTGGGTTGGTTCCAGGTCTTTGCTATTGTAAACAGTGCCACTATGAACATATATGTGCATGTGTCTTTATAATAGAATGATTTATAATCCTTTGGGTATATACCCAGTAATGAGATTGTTGGGTCAAATGGAATTTCTATTTCTAGGTCCTTGAGGAAGCACCACACTGTCTTCCACAATGGTTGAACTAGTTTACACTCCCACCAGCAATGTAAACAGTGTAAAAGCATTCCTATTTCTCCACATCCTCTCCAGCATCTGTTGTCTCCAGATTTTTTAATGATCGCCATTCTAACAGGTGTGAGGTGGTATCTTAATGTGGTTTTGATTTGCATTTCTCTAATAATCAGTGATGATGAGCATTTTTTCATATGTTTGTTGGCCTCATGTATGTCTTCTTTTGAAAAGTGTCTGTTCATATTCTTCTCCCAATTTTGGATGGGTTTGTTTGTTTTTTTCTTGTAAATCTGTTTTAGTTCTTTATAGATTCTGGGTATTAGCCCTTTGTCAGATGGACAGATTGCAAAAATTTTTTCCCGTTCTGTTGGTTGCTGGTTCACTCTAATGATTGTTTCTTTTGCTGTACAGAAGCTCTGGAGTTTAGTTAGGTCCCATTTGTCTGTTTTGGCTTTTGTTGCCAATGCTTTTGGTGTTTCAGTTGTGAAGTCCTTGCCTATGCCTATGTCCTGAATGGTTTTGCCTAGGTTTTCTTCTAGGGTTTTTATGGTGTTAGGTCTTATGTTTACATTTTTAATTCATCTGGAGTTAATTTTAGTGTAAGGTGTCAGGAAGGGGTCCAGTTTCTGCTTACTGCACTCTGCTAGCCAGTTTTCCCAGCACCATTTGTTAAACAGGGAATCCTTTCCCCATTGCTTGTTTTTGTCAGGTTTGTCAAAGATCAAATGGTTGTAGATGTGTGGTGTTTCCTCCAAGTCCTCTGTTCTGTTCCATTTGTCTATATCTCTGTTTTGGTATCAGTACCATGCTGTTTTGATTACTGTAGCCTTGTAGTATAGTTTAAATTCAGGTAGCATGATGCTTCCAGCTTTGTTCTTTTCACTTAGCATTGTCTAGGCTATGTGGGCTCTCTTTTGGTTCCATTTGAAGTTTAAGGTGTTTTTTTCCAGTTCTGTGAAGAAGGTAGCTTGATGGGGATAGTGCTGAATCTATAAATTACTTTGGGCAGTATGGCCATTTTTCATGATGTTGATTCTTCCTAACCATGAGCATGGAATGTTTCTCCATATGTTTGTGTCCTCTCTTATTTCCTTGAGAGGTGGTTTGTAGTTCTCCTTGAAGAGGTCCTTTACATCCTTTGTTAGTTGTATTCCTAGGTATTTTATTCTCCTTGTAGCAATTGTGAATGGGAGTTCACTCACGATTTGGCTCTCTGTTAATCTGTTATTGGTGTATAGAAATGCGTGTGATTTCTGCATGTTGATTTTGTATCCTGAGACTTTGCTGAAGTTGCTTATGAGTTTAAGGAGATTTTAGGCTGAGATGATAGAGTCTTCTAAATATACAATTATGTCACCTGCAAATAGGGACAATTTGACTTCCTCCTTTCCTAGTTGAATACCCTTTATTTTTTTTCTCGCCTAATTGCTCTGGGTAGAACTTCCAATACTATATTGAATAGGAGTGGCAAGAGAGGGCATCCTTGTCTGGCACCAGATTTCAAAGGGAATGCTTCCAGTTTTTGCACATCCAGTATGATATTGGCTGTAGGTTTGTCATAAATAGCTTTTATTATTTTGAGATATGTTCCTTTGATATCTAGTTTATTGAGAGTTCTTAGCATTTATGCTAAGAATTAGCATAAATTCTTAGCATTAGGCTAAGGCATTAGGAAGAGGCATTAGGCTGTTGCGGGATTAGATAATGCTAATGTTCCTTAGCATTAGGAAGAGGCATTAGGCTGTTGAATTTTGTTGAAAGCCTTCTCTGGATCTATTGAGATAATCATGTGGTTTTTGTCTTTGGTTCTGTTTATGTGGTGGCTTATGTTTATAGACTTTCATATGTTGAACCAGCCTTGCATCCCTGAGATGAACCCTACTTGACCGTGATGGATAAGCTTTTTGATGTGCTGTTGCAATTGGTTTGCCAGTATTTTTGCATCTATGTTCACCGTGGATATTGGCCTGAAAGTTTCTTTTTTTTTGTTGAGTCTCTGCCGTGTTTTGGTATCAGGATGATGTTGGTCTCATAAAATGATTTGGGAAGGATTCCCTCTTTTTGGATTGTTTGGGAAAGTTTCAGAAGGAATGGTGCCAGCTCCTCTTTGTATGTCTGGTAGAATTCAGTTGTGAACCCTTCTGGACTTGGACTTTTTTTGGTTGGTAGGCTTTTAATTGCTGCCTCAACTTCAGCCCTTGTTACTGATCTGTTCAAGGTTTCAACTTCTTCCTGGTTTAGGCTTGGGAGGGTGCAAGTGTTCAGGAATGTATCCATTTCTTCCACGTTTACTGGTTTATGTGCATAGAGCTGTTTGTAGTAATCTCTGATGGTAGTTTGTATTTCTGTGGAATTGGTGGTAATATCCCCTTTTTTGTTTTTTATTACCTCTATTTGATTCTTCTCCCTTTTCTTTTTCTTAATCTAGCTAGCAGTCTGTCTATTTTGTTGATCTTTTAAAAAAAACCAGCTCCTGGATTTATTGATTTTTTAAAGGGTTTTTTGGGTCTCTATCTCCTTCAGTTCTGCTCTGATCTTAGTTATTTCTTGTCTTCTGCTAGCTTTTGAGTTGTTTTGATCTTGCTTCTCTAGCTCTTTCAGTTTTGATGATAGGGTGTTGATTTTAGATCTTTCCTCTCTTCTCTGGTGGGCATTTATTGCTAGAAATTTCCCTCTACACACTGCTTTAAATGTTTCCCAGAGATTCTGGTATGTTGTGTCTTCATTCTCATTGGTTTCAAAGAACATCTTTCTTTCTGCCTTCATTTCCTTGTTTATCCAGTTGACATTCAGGAGCTAGTTGTTTAGTTTCCATGAAGTTGTGTGGTTCTGAATTAGTTCCCTAATTCTGAGGTGTGCAGATTTCTCTTCTACATACTGATTTCCTTTCTTTGGGGTCTAGTTTCAAGGGAGAAGCTGCCCCTTGGTTCCTTCTGTTCTTTCTGTAGATCCCTGAGAGAGAAATGGTTTTGTTGTGAATTCCCAAAGTATGACTTTGGTGAATGATCATGGATTTCAAACCTTAGAGGGGATGAAAATTGTTTTTCTGAAGAAAGTAGAGGGGTGTAATACGGAGGCAGTGAGTGAATATTAGGGAAGAGGCATTAGGTGTAAGTGTGCCACTCTGAGACCTGCTTCTTTTTGGTGATGGTGCATATAAAATACCCCAATATGTCTAGAAATCTAAGAACAGGAGGAACCAAGGGCCAGCTTCTCCCTTGAAACTAGACCCCTGGAGGAACAGCCTCAGAGAGGGCACTGAGCTTACATGGGAGGTTGTGGCGAAGTGGGAATTGTGGTATAGCATGGTTAGGCAGACAGGACCTGAGATAGTACCTTCCAGGTCCCATAGCCTGCCCAGGTGACAGTGGGAAAACGCCACATGCAGAAATGCAGCATGGAGAAGGAGGCAGCTGAAATCTAAAGAGGACTCACAAATCATTCAACCTTGTGAAAAAATGCCAGGGTATGTACAACAAATAAAGGTGTCAACATTAGCTTGACCCCCTAGCCATCTTCAGCAGGATTTAAGGGGAAGGCACACTGTCCAATCCCTTGTTTTGGTATTAAAGCTCCAGGTGCTACTAGTGAGACCACCACGGACCCTCCCTGAACATCATCTTCTTACTGTCATGAACTGCTTCAAATTAGACTCTAATTAGAGGTTACTCTCTCCCTCCCTCTAAGAGACCACCAGGGCCATTGCCATCATAACCTACCTTTTTATTTACCTCAGTTTCTGTAAGG